GCTGTTGTTTCTGCTTGCTCAGCACTAGCACTTGCCGCTGCTGTTGTTTGCTGTCCTGATTCTGTTGCTGTGGCTGTTGGTGTTGTTTCTGCCAGTTCAACATTTGCTGGTGTTTGTGTTGATGTCCTCGCTGCTGCTGCCGCTGTTGATGTCCCTGCTGCTGCTGCTGCTGCGGGCGCTGATGTTGCTGATTCTGTTGCTGATGTTTCTGCTGGTGTTTGCACTGATGTCTCTGCTGCTGTAGCGGCTGTTGGTGCTGATGCTGATGCTGTGCTTGTTGTTGCTGAATCAGGCCTGCAAATGTCGCCCTTTTCAGGCGCTGTGGCTGTTGCTTCATCATGCTTGCTTGTGTCAGCTTGCGGTGGGGTGACAGGAGCGGCATGACCATCGAGTACGGATGCTAAGGCCTTGTACATGGGGTCGTTCGAATCAATGCTGAAGAGGTCAGAGAAGTCTTCGTTATTCTCAACAGACTGTTGGGCCTCATCGGTCTTCGGAGTCTTCACTGTCTTCACTTCAGAAGACTTGGCACCAGCACTTGGACTAGGACCATCATCATTTGGAGCTGACTTGAGCATCTTTGCAATTGAGGCTGAGGATGATGATGGAACCAGCGCTACTCTCTTTCGTGGTGCCTTGAAGCCTGGAGGGGCTTGAACACCATCTGCACTAGTGCTTGTATCGCTCATCTGGAACAATGCCCATCCCTCCTTGCAAAGATGAACATGAACAGCGGAAAAAACAAAATGATTATAGTAGCCACCCTGGTTTCAGGACTCGGGTCTTGAATCCAGGGCCCCCCACCTTGTAGCCACCCTGGTTTCAGGACTTGGGTCTTGAAACCAGGGTTACCCACCTTGTAGCCACCCCGGTTTCAGGACTCGGGTCTTGAATCCAGGGTCCCCCACCTTGTAGCCACCCTGGTTTCAGGACTCGGGTCTTGAATCCAGGGCCCCCCACCTTGTAGCCACCCTGGTTTCAGGACTTGGGTCTTGAAACCAGGGTTACCCACCTTGTAGCCACCCTGGTTTCAGGACTCGGGTCTTGAATCCAGGGCCCCCCCACCTTGTAGCCACCCTGGTTTCAGGACTTGGGTCTTGAAAC